CTGTTCAACCTGTACATGAATCGATTAATTGGGGAGCTCAGCAACACTAAAGTCGGATGCTCAATTGATGGCACTATTGTTAATAACATCAGTTACGCGGATGACATGGTGTTGCTGAGTCCTTCAATTAGCGCCCTTCGCAAGTTGGTTGGCGTATGTGAAAAATATGCTGAGGCCCATGGCCTTAGGTACAATACGACTAAAAGTGAGGTGCTAGTGTTTAAAGCTGGCAGTAAATGCTACAACACGGTTCCCGAGTTGACACTGTGTGGCATACCTCTAAAACGAGTCACCGAATTCAAGTACCTGGGGCATTGGGTCTCGGAGTCCTTAAGGGACAATTTAGATATAGAAAGAGAGCGTAGGGCGCTGGCAGCTAGGGGCAACATGTTGGCCCGTAGGTTTGCAAGGTGTACTGACGACGTTAAAATTACTCTATTCAAAGCGTTCTGTCAGTCATTTTACACATGCAGCCTATGGGTTAACTACACTCTAAAAGCTCTCAGCGCCCTACGTGTCTTATATAACAATATGTTCAGGAGGATGTTGCAGCTGCCGCGCTTCTGCAGCGCATCGGGAATGTTCGCTAACGCTCGCGTTGATGGTTTTACAGCCATTATGCGTAAAAGAGCGGCTTCCCTGATGGACAGAATTCGTGGCGGAAGTAACGGCCTCCTTAATATTATTGCTTGCAGGGTCCAGAGTTCTTTCCATGAGCACTGGACCCGAATGCATATTAATGTATTTAAAAAGAATAGTTTTTTGTAATTTTTGTAATTTTTATATACTTAGTGTTCTTTTTATAGTTTTTGTGTAATACTAACCTAGTTTATAAGTGTACTGTTACTAACTCCTATGGATGAATAGTCCGAAATAAAATTTTATTATTATTATTATTATTATTATTATAAACAAGAAATTTTGTAAAATATAAGGCACATGGGACTTGTCAATTTATTTCTTAGGGTGGCGGGCGAAATGGCAGTAAATCACACATATTTGCGATTTAAAGCTCTGAGTGGCACTGCAACTGAAAATTTGTTCGTTCCGTCACTTGTTATTATTAAAAAAAGAAAAAGCAACTTTTCATACATTTGTATAGCAGACATACTTAGTTTGAAAAGTAGACATTTCGCTTTTCAAACACATTATTTCATCTCTTGTTCAGAGTCATAGACTATTACACGATGCTTTTGTAACATCCAGTACATCGTATGTGTTTCAAAGCTTTACCCAAACTCCAAACACGATTTTCTTCCTCAGCGTACGGTTTAAGATTACTATCCTCCACTTGTTTTCCTCAGCGCAGACACCGTAGTTACAAACCTTATCTGTATTCATTGTTTTTGTAACCAAACTCCCTTGTGTATTTTATAACAAAAATACGTGATAAAATATCTCATTGTAATGCATTAAAGTGTAAGATGGAAGAGTTATGTATTTGTTCACTCATTTTATCTTCACAAAATTTGTCTGAAATAACTATTATGCCCTTTGAATTGCTTTTGTTTGCTGAAAGAATAAATAGATATAATGTCGATTCCTTATCGAAGCCGTAGTAGAATAAAAAAGTATGGTAACTCCATACAAACGTAGCAGCGCGGCTTGTATATGTGCGCCCCTGTCTGGCGTCGTGTACGTTCGTATAATAATGAAAGGGGCGTGGAACTCCAGCGCTATGCAACGCGCGTGGTGGAGCGAAATGACCAGCCCGATGGTCTGACGATATGGTCAGATTTGCGGTATCGCGCTGGGTGTGAACAGCGCGAGATCGAAAATATAGGCGCAATAAAGAAGAGGTCTTTACCCAGCAGCGAGGTGTTGTTGGCTGATCATGATGATAATGATGATTGTTTGCGTTTTAGATTACATTGGAAATTACTTCTATTAACTGCGCTTGCTAGTAGCTGCCTATAAGGACTGGACAATGGTATGTAGGTCGAAGAACAGGGAAAATGATTCCGCCTGATTACGCCTGGATGCAATCGCCACACGAGGAAATTTCGCAGGTTCACTACTGAACACTGTGTAATAATGTTAGCCGCTCACGCGATGCGCTCATCCTACCGCAAAATAGCGGCTATTTGGTTTCGCAAATTAGAAAAGGATTCAGTTTAAATACAAGTTTTTATAAATAAAAATTATTATTCTGCATTGCTAAATAAATACCCTCCGTACTACAACAAAAACATCTCAAATAAAATGCAGTAATACACAGCAAATCGTGCAATTAAAAAGCACTAATGAAATTTTTGGGTGTACTTGGGTAAATATGATAATATTCCGTTTGAGTGGTTCTAACGTTCACCATGAAATTACTCCTTAAAGTATAGTTTATAAACATTTATATTCAGGGTAAACTTAAGAAACGCTACTTACGGTATGTTTTCAATAAATAAACACCGAAATCATCAGCCCAAACAATAACACATACGATTGTCGTGACGTATTTTTGAAGTTGTTTATTTTTTTTAAATGACAGACCCAGGCATTAAAAACTTTATGGTTTGCTAGAGTAGTTACCGAAATAGCAATTAGTATTAGTTCTTTTACCTGTTATAACTTCGATATCCGATAAATCGGTATAAAATCATCACCGGCACCTCTAGGTGTGGTATGCGTCTACGGCTGCATGTATCGCGTGAGCGGTTAGATATGAAATAGCCCATGATTTTGAACGAGAGATGAAGTATGTGTTTGCAAAACAAAATTTCATACTTTCCAATCAAAATATGTATGCTGTAAAAAATTTATGACAAGTAGCTTTTTTTAATGATATCCGGTATTCGTTCCGAATACGAGACTATATAAATCTAGAAAACTTGGACCCACTTCGGATGTCGCTTGTGCACTTAATCCTATTTGAATCATAGAAAATACGAATATCGCTTGTACACCAACTTAGAGATAAAATGATCCCTGTGACATTTCGGACTGTCAGTTCTCGGATTCGGAACTGGGGGTCTTCTCTCGATATCCGTCCGAAACAATTACTGCCAAATAAGCAATACTTGACCAAATGAAAAGACGCGTGACGCGAATGAAGCTTCATACTTGATACTTGTCTTTTAACTTTGTCGAATATTACTTATTTGACAGTAATTGTTTCGGACGGAGATCGAGAATAGACCCCCTGATACGAATCGCACATAGTGCGCAAACGCTTTGACGAGACGAACAATTCGTGCATCTGGCGGTAAGCGATACGCCTATCCATAACAGTTGCAGCGCCACTTAGAGTTTTAAATCGCAAATATCTTAGGGATGCTGCTACTACACCCGTCACTCTGAGACATAAGTTAAGAAGTCCCATGCGCCTGTCATTTCACCAACACTCTCATTCTTCGAAACCGGAACGCAATTATGCTCACTTTATTGCTTTGCGGCAGAAATAAGTAAGGTGGCAGTACTTCCCTGGACGAACTCTTTCACAAGGAGCTCTACAGTTCCACTGCTGCTTATATGGTACTGTCGTTGTTTCCGATTTCCATAACACAGGTGCTTTAACTACTTTGATATCGAAGTAACGTATGTAATGTTGTCTAATATTTTTACATTTATTTTTAAATGGCGTGTTACTCTAATTATTTTCCTTGAAGCTATAGAGTCTATTCAAATTTTTCCAACTGTAAAGGAGAAGGAGAATATCTGTGAACAATAGCTCAATGGCTTTGTTTGCCTTTTTGGCTGCTATGTTATTTACGACAACCCAAAACGTTTTACAGATAATTACGAAGGACATTCGCAATTCGAAAATTAAATGGTTTTGAAGCTAAACAGCGGGTTTCGCTAAATAAAATCATCTTTCAAACATTGGCAATAATAATATTTGTTCATTTAAAACGGAATAACTGTTCACAAACCATGAAATGCTAGATAATTGTGCACAATATTGACATAAAATAGATTTAGTTAAATATCCAATTAAATAATAAAAATTAAAACTTCGAAAAATTTAAAAACACATTCACAAATTATACAAAATAAGAAAATTGAATGCATATTGAACCTAGCTATGACACCTTACAGACGCTATAAATTGTTTTAAAGGTTGGTGAAACATATCTCTGTACTAACCTTATTATAGTTCTTGCTAATACAAAACAATATGACACAGAATTAGTAAAGTCCACAAAATTAAATAATGTTGAATGAAAATTGTTGGATTCGTAGTTAACTTCGCTAAAAGAAACAAAAGATGTGGCAGAAAAGGTATTCTTAAACTAATTCTAATTGAATTTGCATGCATGGATTTTCAAGAATTTGTGTTTCATATCACTTGTGCCTGCGCTTTTGTCATCATTAACAGGTTTGTCGCCGGCTAGAATTTTCAAAAACGTAAAAAGAAATATATTGACTTATACTGTTATACTTAGACTGTTTTTGGTCTCATTTGCATAATGTATATTTTTCGCGATGTTTCATTATTTGGCTCTATTTGTGGATTATTTTTAGTGCCGGACATTTCAACCCGGCGAGGTCTAAACGCAATAATTATAACGTTTAGGCCGCGCTGGTCACAATGCCCGGCAGAGCACGTTCGTACGCGTAATGTTCGTACCTAAAACTGACATACTCATACGTCTTTCATTTGAGATTGACATTTCACATTAACAATTTTTTACTTGGTTTGTAACTATTATATTAAAGTACTTTTTAATTCGAAATACATATTTTTTCCTTCAAGATTAGAAAAGTAGGTATGCCATCAAAAAAAAGGCGCAGAGTCGAAGCGTCGCGACGCGTCATGTTTTTCGCCTATAGTATATTCATCTCTATTTTCCCATACTGAGGTACAAATTTGTGTTATGCAAACAAAACTGTGATTCGGGAGTACTAATGCTAATCGTTGTAGTTCAAAAACAGGAGGCGACGCGACGCTTCGAGTCTGCGCCAGTATGAGTTGAGCCTTAAGGTCGACGCAATGAGAAGAAGTAAGACGAAGAGTGGTAATAAAAAATCAATGATTAGATTAAATAGATCTTTATCTTTGTTAACAGGAGCTGGTGGTCTAAGGACCATTGAACTCCGGATCACACCTCGAGTCGTGCAGCGCGGCAAGAACGTCACAATGGCCTGCATGTACCAACTCCACGACTACGGTATATACTCCGTCAAGTGGTACAAGGGAGCACAGGAGTTCTACAGATATTCCCCACTGGAATCACCCACAACTAGGCTGCTACCCGTGACAGGGGTTAAAGTTGATGTAAGTTTTTAACCGACTTATTTATTTATTTATTTAATCTTTTGCACAATACATTAATGTACAAATGGCGAACTTAATGCCATAAGGCATTCTCTACCAGTCAACCATTGGGCCAAACAGAAAAAAAACATCTCAAGACATCAACATCTCAACAAATAAACATCAAGGTGCTACACTTAAAACAGAAAAAAAAATCATAAGCCTAAATTTTAAGGTTAATATTTTCAGTGTAAAATAAACATAATACAGCATAAATAATATACTTATATAATAAACAATACATATATATAACAAATATACCCAATATATATATATAATATATAGTAAACATAATAGTAATTAATAATATATAAGTACCCACAGCAATATTATGCAGAGTCTTGATTTGGAAAATTATCAAAAAGATAATTGCGCATCATGCGCTTGAAAGATAACGTAGTCTGAGCTTGTCTCTTTTTAGCGGGAGCACGTTCCAAAGACGGATTGCATGAAGGGCAAAATAATTAGATACAAAATCAGTACGATGAGAAAGAATAGAGAGCTTGAAGCTACAGCAAGATCGAATTTCGCAACCCGGCCGAGGGGTTTCACATTGAAATGAGCATCTAAGGTAATCAGACGCAGCCGGATCGAACAAAGTAGAGAAAAGGATGGTTAAAATTCTTAAGGATCTGCGTTCACGGATGGGAAGCCAATTTAGTTGACATCGAAAAGTAGAGATGTGGTCATATTTTCGCAGACCAAAAATGAATCTAATGCAATTGTTACGAAGACGATTAAACTTAGGAAATGAAACTATTTTTCCGGATTGAAATCGCGTATATTTGTTTTTTCAAACAAACCGACGTTTCGGGCCCTTTATAGGTCCCATGGTCACGGTTGACTCAACCTAAGTTACTCGATACGATCTAACTTGTTCAAAGAAACTTGAAAGATATTACTGTAACACACATAAGCATAATCGATTACAGGCAATATCAGAGCCTGAACAAGGAGAGTTTAGTCTTAACGGAAATAAAGTGCTTAAACCGATACAGAGCTCTTAGTGTGTTTGTCATCAGATATTAATTAATTTATTTATTTTTATTTATTAATTAGCCCCAGATTTTTTACTTGATTTGATAGAGGAATTACAATGTTCTCAAACAATATCGGGGGCGTGCGCATCATGTCAAAAGACGAAATAAGGTGTGGGCTTCCAAGGATGATTGCTTGACATTTGGAAGGGTTAACATTGATGTTAAACCCTTGGGACCAAACTGAGATTCGATCAAGGTCGTCATTAATTAAAGCAATTGCGACGCAGATGCTACCGATACTAACCTTGGTGTAAAGCTGCAAATCGTCAGCATATAGGTAGTAAGAACAGTTGATGCTAGACGTAATCAGATTAATGAAAATGGAAAACAAGAGAGGAGAGAGAATTCCGCCCTGAGGTACCCCTGAAGTCAGTTCACACCAGCTAGAGAAAGAACGGTCAATACGAGTAGCTTGTTGGCAACCGCGGAGATAAGAGGAAAACTATACAGCAGCTATTGATGAGATGCTTAAGTGATCTAAGGCGGCAAGAAGAAGGTCTTGATCTACGGCGTTGAAGGCATTGTAGAAATCAATCAGGACCAGCACAGTAACTAAGGTACAGTCCATGCCCCGCCTTACATCTTCAACAACCTTTAGCAAAGCAGTACATGTACTGTGACCTGGTCGAAAACCTGATTGAAACGGGGACAGGAAATTGTATACATAAGCAGACAATTGTTTATGAATGACAGTTTCTAAGACTTTAGAAAGAAAAGGAAGAATTGAGATGGGACGGTAATGCTTGAATAAACTGGGGTTGGTAACTTTAGGAAGAGGCATTACATGGGCATTTCGCCACAAAGATGGAAAAACTCCAGACTCAATCGAGAAATTAACTACGTGCGCGATGATAGGGAGAATATATTCTAAAATACTTATAACCATAACTTTACTTATGTCATCATGTCCAACAGCATTGGATTTGATTGTCAAAATAACATTCCTGTTTCCATCTTCAGTTACTGTGGTGAAAATAAAAAAGGTGTTCAAATTTTTGGGCAGGGCTCTAATAAGCGAAATGCTTTGTCGTTTCGTGTTGGTGTCTAAAGCGGCAGTTTTAGCAAAGTGTGTATTCAGATCGTTTAAGGTGAAAGAAGAAGATACGCTATACGAACTTTGCAGCTTACATACACTGGATGATACCAATGGATTTTAAGAATAAATAAATATAATAAATAATAAAATTGTTTATTCAGTAACATAAGAATACCCATGTATTAACAGGTGATGCATGAAGAATATTTTCATAAATATGTTTACGTTTGGGTGCTCTTACCATCTGATTACACCTATTTCTTGCAGCCTTAAAAACGAGCCAATTTTCGTCATATCGGTTACGCTTGTATTTCCTAAAAGCATTTTCGCCTTGTCATAGCAATACGGACTGCTCGAGTTATCCACGGCGCGGGAGGACGCTTTAGTTTGACTGTTCGAATTGGAGCATGAGTGTCAAATAGTTTTAGGACTGCTAAATTTAGAGAAGACACCGCCTCATCGGCTGTCAATGCTGACAAAGTAGGCCCCCAATCAATAGCCCGCGCGTCCTCTTTCAACATTTCTATGTCAAGTTTCGTGAAGCTACGTAATTGACCTATGACAGGCTGTGCCTTATGTGGTTTAATTTTGTAATTTACGTAAATGAGAGCATGTCGTGAAAAACCTGGAGCCGAAAACTGCCCAGACCCACCTACGTGATCGATAGAGGAGGTTAGTATAAGATCTAGCCAGGTGTCCGTCGTATCTACATTGTGATGAGTAGGCGTAATAGGTAGAACGGTTAAAGCTGCAGATTCAATCACTGTTTTCAATGAACGAGCCCTCATGCCATCTCTCAAAAGGTCGGTATTAGAGTCACCCATGATTATCTGATGTGTATAATCAGCGCTAAGGGGTGAAAGTAATGATTCAAAGGATGAAAAGAAATCTATAGAACAAGGACAATATACAACAGCCAGAGCAACGTTTACACCTTTAACCATGATCGCAACGAGTAAGTGTTCTAAAGAACTGGAGTATATAGAGGGAGAAGAAGAAAGTATTTTGAACGGGATGTCATTACGGAGGTAAATAGCAACGCCTCCGCCCCCTTTACCCGTACTGTCATTCCGGAGGAATACAAAACCAGGAAGACTAAAAGAAGTAGAAACAAGGTTCAGTTTAAGCCAGGATTCTGAAATAAGAATAGCGTGAATATTAGAAGAAGAGACAGTATCGAGTAGGTCGTTATAGTGGCTAGGGATGCCTTGAGCGTTGATATGGCAAACGTTCAGATGGTTCGTGAAATTTTGGAATTCGCGAGTTAATGTATCGCCAAGAGTCAGATTCAGTCAGGTTCGGCGTTATCAAGAGAAAGAAAGGACGAAGTCGAATTGCAAGCTGAGTGAAAAGAGTCGTCATCTGACATTATGTATTGGGTTAACGTACCGTAAATATAATAATAAATAAATAAATATCATACATACAAGAACAAAATTTTAGAAGAGTTGGTTCTGTGTAACCCATCAGATGACCGTGAACTAAGTAATACAAAACATAAAATAAAAATACAATATTGCATTTAAGTCTCCCCGCCACCGTAAAACAAATAGAAAAAAAAAACAAATTTCTGAACGCAACCAAAACGGCACCATTTGTAAAAAAATACCGACCACAATCCTACGCTAATAAGTTGTTGAAATTTAAAACAAACCTACCTCTAATTAACTTAATGGTTAGTGGTTATAACTGAATAGACTAACAGTGGACAGCAGTTACTGGTTTAAGCATGAATGACAACACAAGATATATATAGAAAATCAAGGGAATGAGTGAATGGGCACCGTTCGGTTGCGCTTCGGAGTTAAATGAAAATCACAGGCACAATACAAATTGCACAAAGATACAACATATATGAAATATATTATATTAAATTGCACGCCCAACACGTCGCTCCCCCACCTTCTTTGCGGTACCCTTCGGCGGGACTGCCGGCGTTGGCGTAGCAGGCGCACGGGATAGAACCGAAGTCAGGGTCAATATAGGGGCGTGCGCAGCGGTGAACTCACCCAGCTGCTCAGGCGTAGTCAGGCGGTGCTTCTCACCGCTGGGCAGCTTCACATTAATGTTCTCGTCAGCAGTCCAGACATTGTGCATTCCGAAATGCCACAGTGTGGTCGGCGCCTGACGCCTCACGGCGCCCAAATGACGCGTGTCGTGTCCATATTTCCAAAACACAAATTTGTACCTTAATAATTGGAAAATATAGATGAATATGCTATAGGCGAAAAACTTGACGCGTCGCGACGCTTCGCCTCTGCGCCAGTGTGAGTTGACCCTTAGAAATATAGCGTAAATCTATTCATAATTGAAAAAAAAAACAACTTAGAATTATAACATAAACAATACAGATGCTACACTGTTTTCTGAGACACAAAAATCCGTTGCACATATTTTGGGAACCACAGATCTTAAGAAGGTATTTAAAACAGCTACTCTTCTGTGTTCTGGTTGTAAGATCGGGCAAATCGATTTCAGTTTACCGAAGTAACCTTAATGAACAATATCCAATCCAAACAAAGTTTAAACAGAGTAACACAACCTTAACGATAGTATCATCATATAGGTCATCATCATTTTTGTATAATGAAGATAATGATCGACAAAACTTTAACAGGTTAACTTAGTTCAATGATATAGAACAAGGATGCCGCAGATGTATGACAACAGCTGCAGACGCGGATCAGATTTTTTTTTAGTTTAGAATAAATGTGGATGGGTAATACACCTATAAATATTACGTATGACATTTTATTGATACTTAAAGTGTTTAAAGATCTCGTGAGCCGTCCTTTATGTGAATAGAGCTGGGCTATCTTGAATAAAAAAGTTCGTTAGTCGATGTAAACTCAATATTTTTTGTTTAGAAAAGAAACAGGTTGTTGCCTGCACTAGACGTTGCCGAATTCATGGTCCCTGATTGGCTAATTAGTGTTATTACTCGGCACGCGCTTTGAGTAGGACCTATTCACGGCCATCTTACCGTGACCTGTAAAACATCCGTATCCGCAAAAATTAAGCATCGTGTGGTTCGGAAGTCGGAAGCGGAAGCAGATACTTTAAAATATGCGGATGATCCGCACTTGCGGCATCCCTAGTATAGTAATACTAAGGAAAAAGGAACCAATATTAATTTTATAGGCCAATATCCGCAACAACAATGTAATATTTTTTATTAGGTTCTTATAAATCTGTCAAAGTTGCCACAAAAGCAAAATAAAATTTGACCAAAGAATAAAAGTTTGAACGGGCACAAATATGAATCATCATTGAGCAGAAGTCTGTAAAAAGTTATGCTCACGTCTTGGGGTCGTATAATATTTTACGAGGGTCCCCGAAATCTGGAAGTATTCCAGGATAATCCTTCGTATTGGTTAACTGGTGTGAATTAGTGCCGGGAAAGAAACTTCTGGGCTTGATTTAGGTACTCTTTTCTAGTACCTACCACTAGAGTCTCTGGGTGGTCTCTTGATAATATTTATGCGCATAAACCCCGCCTAAGTTGACAGATTGCCAGAAAGAACGAAGAAGAAGTTGTTTAAGAATAATAATATAATTCAGAGTTATGAAATACAGATTTTAAGGCTTTCGTTCAGGGTCAGGGCAACAGGGCAGAAATAGGTAAGGTGGCACTTACCACCTACCTACCACCTACCTACCACCTACCTTACCTATTTAATAAATTGTGAGTAGAACTGCAATTGTTATGGACAGTCCCCTCACCAAGTACTTGTTAGTATCATAAAAAAATGTGATAATCATTATAAAATATACTACAGTCAAAAATGCATATAAAAAAATTTTTGATGTTTGAAAACTTTTTCTTGAAAAACGCCAAACCAAATTTAGCGATACCAATATAATTGACTAAAATTCCCTGTGATTTTATTTGTCTCTACGAATAAGGTGAAGGTCGGGTCAGTGAGTTTCAATTTACCCTCACAGTCAAGGAAAATCTCAATAATCTGAACAGAAGATCCTTTAAATCCTCGTTTCCTACTAGCGCTGTAATATTAATGAATAAATCGATAGCTCCAAAGAGCACTACGCCCATTTGATTTTTGGTCATTTTCTGTTTCTTAATGTAAATAGCCTTATATATTTGCTAATACGAGTATTATGCTCCCTGAATTTTGTGAAAAAACTAAACAAAAAAACAAAAAATAAAATAAAAACAGAAAATGACCATAAATTACGATGACGTAGTGTTAATTGGAGGTATCGAAGTTTGAGATTAATATGAAAAATATGCTAAGTTAAGCACACGCACTGAGTAAATATACCTACCAAAAAAAAAACCTAAGCAAAATAAATTTCAAATTGAAACGTTTGTTTTTTATTACGCTTATTTTCGCTATCTCAATTTAAAACTCAACTCACATAATCAAATTATCATAGGTAACCAAATTACACTTGAAATGGTAATATATATATATATATATATATTAACATATACTATTAAAATCATAAGGCAGATTCCCCTGATAAGAATGAGCAAGAAGCGCTAGGAGTTGCTGTTTGTAAATATACATTTGCACACATTAATTATCGTTTTAGAATATTTATTTCAAACATCATAGATCGAGACTACCTGTAAGAGCTAAAGGGGTCACTACCACGGATTTTTGTTATCCATATACGCAGAAGCTGTGAGTGTGAGTGTGTGATTTTTGTTTCACTTCAGTTTAAAACCTCGTGATAGGCAATTTAATACAGTTAATTTTTAAAATTTGTTGTAATAGTCAGTTTGTTGTTCAATCCCACAAATAAATAAATCATTACTGTGCTTATTTAAGATCCTAATTCACAAAACAGATAAAATTTAACCATAGCCCTTCGCTGCTATTCAAATTTATCGGACAACCACTAATTAAAATGCGGAGTCAAGTTCACTGAATCGAATCTGATTTTTTCATTTAATGTAATGATCTTTTAATGTTATTTGATATTTTCGCTTTAAAAACGTTTATATTCCAACCCAAAACGAAGAACAATTAGTTTAACCTGGTAAGAAAAACAACAGCTTAATTAATGTCAACAAGTTAAGTTTCCTGTTTCAAATGCTGTATTCAATTTGATTTCGGACCTTAATGGCACGCGACAGCGTCACGTGGCACTGTAGAACGATACTGTAGGGTCGTGTTGCGGTACCATGCTGAAAGCGTTTTTTTTGTTTCAGAGGATAAGTTCCAATGAAACACACGTAGTCCTGGTGAGGGTAGGCCCCTCCCTCAGCGGCAACTATACCTGCGAGGTAATACAGAACGCCCCCACCTACCCACACTTCGTAGCTACTTCAAGACTGGACGTCGTTGGTAAGTTTTTTATGTAAGATGAAGTTAGTATACGAGCGGCAGTCGAAAAGCAGTGCCTCCATAGTTTTAACATTTATTTCTTTCAAAGCTACTGAACTATGTCCATTCACAGCATTCCCATAATTCAATATGGTTTTTCTCAGGTGCACAACCAGAAGTTTTTTGTCAGAAACTCAATGATTCTTTGTTTTAGCTTCAAAGCCATTAATTTTTTTGAATTAACAAACATGATAACATTTGACTTTGTTGAAGTCGACGATGGAGCAAGCACACTTAAGCAATGCCTATTCAATATCGCCTTGGAAATATCCAAGTTATTCCACTATATAACTGGAGAACTGAAACGCTTTGTGCGAATCCTTGGAATATTCACAACGTAGGGGTGTAACCCCAGCCTACGTCTGGTCCCCCGCTAATGGAAAGGGGAAGACGGAATCCAATTGTGCAATTCCGTCTCACACTCTCCGTGATATATCCTGTAGGATACCGATAAGCAGACCACTTTACGGAGGTGTTCTAGGCTCTGCAGCTTCACTTCTACTAATTCCGAATCACCTATAACCCTCTTGGCATGCTTTTCAACTGAATCCCCAGTTGGTATTTAGCAGAACCATCCGATACACGAGTCAAACTCAATATTATATGAGTATATAAATAAGCTTTAGCTTTTAAAGAAATAAAAGTTGAGCGATAGAGACATTACTTTTTGACAGCCCCTAAGCCGACGTAAGCCATATTTAAAAAAAAATCTGACTGATTATGTAAAATGCTTTTTAAAGATAAGTAAACGATTTGAAACGATATTTCAATTGTTTATTTTCGAAGCAATACAACAGCAAACGACAACCGTCAAAACGTTTTGATTACCACAAATTGAATGATCAAAAAATAAAGATATTGCGTACGACCCGAGTAACGGTTTGGGTCAAGCGGCACCCGTATTTATTTGAATGAACGTTTTTATGTTGTCAAGCATTTAAATATCTACGGCCGGGCGTACTTCAATATTAATACACAAATGGCAATGCTTGCTGTGTAATTGCTGTATATAAATATTTCTTCTGGGTAACATTATAGCGTTCTCTAATAGTATAATGAGAGCACGTAGGGCAACTCTCGCTTGTACAGCACATAAATGCCTACACTTTGCTCGGAGTGTAGGGTTGTTACATTATTATTTTAGTGTACCTACAGGTTGTAAACATAATTCGAAGAAATTAAGTTGTTCATCACAATATTCTCGTGCTATATTGAAATAACCTTTGTTTAATGCAGAGGAATATACGTATTGATATTCATACCAGCTTCGCGGATTAGTATCTTGATTATGGACTATGATTATGAACTAGAAATTAAATGCTGAACAATTATGAATTTGAGGCTCTCTTGATCAAACTACCATAAACACAACAGCTCTCGCATCTTCGACATGTGTTTTGATTATAGTGACCCTCCCTATCAACCTCTTGGTTATGACGGAAGGGCACTACAACCTGTTCAAGCACAGGAAACCTCTAAGCTCAGGTCCTGACCCCGGATCAGCCAGTGTACAGGGTTGTCACAGACAGGTTTTCAAGAGGCTAGTGCCTAGATAGATGGCGGAGCTGTAGGAACGGTCATTTGCCATTGTGCATCGCACAACTAATGATTACCATTGCTAAGCCATTGACTCTAAAGTCCCCTATCAAATCTCCACTTTGGTGGCGGAACTGTAGGTATGCTCCCTTCCCGAAACCTATGCGGCTGGAGGGTCCGGAGAATGTCTAGCTAATCCCCTACAAGAACGCAGTGTCCTGTAACAATGTTCCTCGCCTTAGGCGACTTATTCTAGATCGTTACCACAAACACAACCATAAATACGACTACAATTTTATGTAATTTTTAAAGACCAAGCGACCGCGTCTGTCTTATATTTAAAAGCGCGTGATACGACTCCCGCTACGCAATGCGAGTGCACCACGAGATTATGTGAATGTGTGCGTCCATACACGGCGCGTCACAGACGTGCACACATAAAAGCTGCGCTGCGACGTATGTATGGCGTTACTATGCTTATTTTATTTCCATCTTACAACAACAATACTGTGGTTCTATTTTGAAATCTAAGAAGATTTAAAGGGCTTAGTAATCCTGTAGTAGGTTATTATAATATGAATACATTAAAGGCATACCTTGATCAGAATCAGGCTGGCTTTTCCTTCATTTGTATAGGTAATTAAAAAGGGACAGAAGGCTAGATGGGCTATCTTTAGATTTATGTATACTGAACGGAATATTAAGTTTATTGATTTCACGTAAACAAAACTTATCGTTGGTGATAGCAGAATTGGGAAACTACGTGCCTTCTATGTACCTAAGTTTGATTCTCAACGGCGGTACAATATCGCGTATTTTTAATATTGACTGTAGAATTTCCTCAATAAAGTTATCAATATGCATTTTCATACTCTTCAGATACGACTTCGACAAACACCCGATGGTGACTGACGGGGCAGCGGGTGTCGCGGCGTATTGTTAAGCCGATTGGCATTTTACAAATTTTTGGATAAATGTAAATTTAATAACTTAAATAAATAGGGCTTCAGATGAAAACCAAACTTTAGCAATTTCTCTCTAGTACTTAAAGAGAAGTATCTCCATATAAAAATTATGTATAAAGTTAGATATATTATTCTTAAATAATTCTTTTTAGATTTTTATTTTAGCCTGTTTACATTTTATTTGATCCGATGAAGTACATACTGTCGTTTGACACATTAGCACATTCGTTAGACAATATCCTTAGGTGTATCGTATATTTTTTTATACCTCCGTTATTTAATAGTAAATACCAACACCATTTGATTTAGCAAAACAGTCTTTCTCGCTTCTACTCTGGTGACTGCCTTAAACAGATTTTATGCCGTAGCGACTTCTGTGAGAAACCTATGAAATTATTTTGTGCACACACAGAAATTTGTGAGGTCTGCTGATCCGTTCCGTAGCTCATTTGGGACAGCTGTTAACCCCTGGTCTGGCAAATAGATACTGGTTCGAAGTAATATTTTTTGTATTTGCACGTTCTCATAATTATTATGTCTGCGTAGTTAACTCTCTTTAAAAAATGAGCATTGTGATTCATAAATCACAATGATATCCGCTCACGCGATGCGCTCCTCCTACCGCAAAATGGCGGCTATTTTGTTTCGCAAATTAGAAAAGCATTCAGTTTAAATACAAGTTTTTATAAATAAAAATTATTATTCTGCATTGCTAAATAAATACCCTCCGTACTACCAACAAAAACATCTCAAATAAAATGCAGTAATACAACGCAAATCCTGCACTTAAAAAGCACTAATTAAATTTTTGGTGTACTTGGATAAATATGATAATATTCCGTTTGAGTGGTTCTAACGTTTATCATGAAATTACTCCTTAAAGTATAGTTTATAAACATTTATATTTAGGGCAAACTTAAAAAACGCTACTTACGGTATGTTTTCAATAAATAAACACCGAAATCACCAGCCCAAACAAAAACACACACGATTGTCGTGACGTATTTTTGAAGTTGTTTATTTTTTTTAAATGACAGACCCAGGTATTAAAAACTTTATGGTTTGCTAGAACAGTTACCGAAATGGCAATTAATATTAGTTCTTTTACCTGTTATAACTTCGATATCCGATAAATCGGTATAAAATCATCACCGGCACCTCTAGGTGTGGTATGCGTCTACGGCTGCATGTATTGCGTGAGCGGTTAAAGATGGATGAAAACAATATAAAACAATATAAGTTTGAGACGATTGATGCCTTTTGGTTTTCGATGTAGCTTGTTAACTAGCTTCAGCTCTAACCGCCGTGTTCGATTTTGGCATAACGCGACGAGGCAAAGTAAAGTGAATCTTCAAACGTCTATACGTCAAAGGCGATTGGCGTTGCTTGTTTAATTGGGACCAAAGCAAATGTATTTCCAACGTCCGAAATTTCACACGAATTCATCATCAAATTAATAAAATGAAAATTGCTTGAAAACGTTTTACTACGCAGTTTATTTTAAAAACATTGAGTGACGTTTCTGTTGTTTTGTTCAAATTTTGAGTCCCGTAGAGTTTAAATGTATTAATAAGAAATAACAACAACTAGAATTTTTAAACGAATCGCATCTTCGTGGAATCGAATTTGTACTAGAAAATTTTAAGAATTTAATTATCATAAGAGTCCGTTTACCATCCCCTTGCTGTCTGGTCTTCTCTCAGGCGATGGTTTAGGCTACACTCCACCACGCTAACCCAACTCGGGTTGGGCACTTCACACCTACTCCTAGGGTTTCCACCTTCTTCGACGTGCAGGTTTCATCACAAGGTTTTCCTTCATGGCAAATTTCAAATATCGCACATAAATTCCGAGAAACTCAGAGGTGTGAGGCTGAATTCGAGACCACAGCTATCTTCTATCCCATAAAGTCCAAATTCATTAGTAAGTAATATAACTAAAACATGAATTTATAATGACTCTCATGTTCGATGTATCGAATTTGTACTACTAAATTTAATTTTAAATAGTTTGTGTTAAGAAAATAGGGACCCATATTTAATCCATACGATGTAATGGAATCACTGTTGCCTTTTAAAGTTAAATTTTCCAAACCACATGATGTCACACACGACCGTCTTTCGTTGTGTCTTTCCGACCACATGTTCCACATTTTGCCTTGGCAATAAATCCGACCCGTGTGCGACCCCAACTTGGCCCTGCGTTTCTCGCTTCCAACCGCTTCAATAAATCGATTTAATGCGCCTTGGCCTGCGGTCTCTTGAATTTTAATGCAACATTAATTTTATTAAGCCGCGGTTATCTCGTCTGACGCATTGTCTTCTACTTCTCCATTCTGTTAAAATTTACGTAATTATATGATTCAATAAAATGAAATTGTGAATATTAAGGAGTGTAGCTGCAGCAATAGAGCTGCTTCTATCTTTATTACAATAAATACAGAATATTTTTTGGAATGTA